ACATTTGATTATAACTCAGGTGTCAATGCGCGCCAGGGTGTTCGGTGTGATCATCCGTATTTCCAGTCTGAAATTAGCCGGATCTATGCGAGGCATCATCATGCACGGAATCGGATATTATTTCATCGGCGGTGGCTGCTGTTCCTCGATTTCCTCAGAACGCCTGCTACTACCTCAGGAGTGTGCAAAAAATCCTTGCGGAAGAACATGAAATCAGTTTTGAAGTGGGGTGTGTTTGCGAACAAGCGGCAGCTGCTACGCAGTATTGCTTAGCACTCTCTACAGCTTCCACAGGTGCCGTTGTTCGTGCGTTCGGGCAATGAACCTGCTCAAAACAATCCTGACATTTTGCATTCATTCGTGTTTTGATTTCTCTTTGGTGCCACACACAAGTGCTAATTCAAGAATAATTTTTGCGTGTTTTGATCAAAAGCTAATGAAAATGCATTTTGATACAACTTGTGTGTTTCCGCATATTTAAATCCGGGATTGGAGATGTAGAAGAACTTTAAATTTTGGCGTCTTAATCGTCGGTCATCTGCAAAACTAATTAAAAACGACTTACCTATCTTCCTGCGCCTTGGTCTCGGGTCTACGTAGATTAATTTTTGACTTGCAATACAAAAATCTACGAGCTAGAAAATAGCTTCGGATGAGAAAATAGCTTCGGATGATTTAAAACTGAGTCACGAAACTGTCGCATTTTCTTGCGGTCTTGAACTCAGCTCAGGCTAACGTGTTTAACTAGAAAATCATCCCACCAAATTACGCGGGATCACTGATCTGAAACCATCTTGCAGATTTCGCCTGATTTCGCATTCAATTTCACGCTGATTTTTCAAGTTCAAGGTGTAAGACCCAGCTCATTTTTCGGGTTTTATGACTGCCTAAAATAGCCTTAGTGGTTCAGAAGGAGTTTACAAGCCCTGTGAACTTGTATACTTAGTTCTACATACGAGCCTAATGTGTTAAGCAAATCATGAGTTTGGTTGATATCGTGTTCTGAATCGGACGCTGTCCCTTATTTACCTCGCAAATGTGGCCTTTGATGCACTGGTCCCGTATTCACCAACTAGGCATGCGTAATAGCGTATTGCAAAAGACATACCATTATTTCTTACGATTAATTTCCATTGCATATTATCTCATCGATGCATAAGAAATTGAATTTTCACGCAGCAGCATAACTTTTTTTATGCGCACCATTCAAAAATACTCTTCAGATCAGAGCAACTAAATCAGAACAGCGTCATTCACAAGTAATGGAGGAAGGCGAAGAAATAACACTGATGCCTTACGACGATGGTCTGGGCGGCGGTGATGGCAGCAACGAACAGATCCAGGAATCCCACAAACCCGGCGTGCCTGGAGAAGTTGGCGGAACTTTACTACCAGATGACGGGGACGGGATAAATGTGGATGAGCCATTCCACGATGAGCAAGGAAAAGGAGAAACACTTCCTGATGATGAGGCAGACGAACCCGAACACGGTGAACATGAATTACCACCACCATCAATGGACGACAAGACGAAACACCAGGAGCCTGAACCAGTAGCAGAGACAGATGACAAGCCAGAACCAGGGGATGGTGAGGTACCACCACCAAACTTGGACGAAAAACCTGAACCTGTGGAGCCGGAATCACAAGAATCATCTGATAACAGACCAGAACCTCAAGAGCCTGGGTTACCACCACCCGCAACTGACAAAGCAGGACCCGAGGAATCGGATCAACCTCCAGCTCTGAGCGGCAAACAAAAACGGGAGGAACCGCTGGAACCGGAATGGTCAGGGGCGCGCCCGTCACCTCCACATCCTGCGCCAGTACCGGATCGTCCCTCACCGGCATTGCCGCAAACAATCCCAGACCAGCCGTATCAGCCACAGCCACCACCTGGTCAGCCTTTTCCACCAGAACCACGACCCGCGACCGACTTGCCCGGTCTCCCCCGTTCGCAGCCGTGTGATCCGCAAAAGCCCGGAGCATATCATATTATTGCGACGGGCATGAATCCGGATATGCAGCAGTACGCAATATCGCTAGCTGGACAAGCTCTTGCTCAGTGAGTTTAATGAATTACTTAAAAATCCAGTAGAAAAAGAGGAAACCCTAAAGTAGCTCTCCGTTCCGCATCGTACAGCTTCGTTGCGTTTACTAACTGCTCTTCAGGCTGAATGTTGTCCGCATCGCACAAGATTCGCCACGAAAAGTGCATCACAGGGTTTTCTCTGCGCGCTTGAAATTTCCAGGAACCTTTGCGCAGCTAATCTTTTACCGTGCACAGTGAGATGCTGCACCGGAATGGCTTGAAAATTTGTGGGAACTGTTGAAGCTTGGAAGTACAAAAGTCGAATCTTTGAGTGCTGAAAACTCGTGATCAGCTTTCTGTGAACGTTCTCCAAGTAGTTAGTGGCATCGTGCTCGCTATCCTATCAAAAATATGGAAAATCCAGAGCAGAAAAAAAAAGCAGTGGCTGAAAAAAAATTCTAATTTTTATGCGTTTTTGCACTTTTGCAGTGAAAAACGCATTTTTTGGATA